TGCACTGAATGAAAAGAGAATAGAAATTTAGAATACGTGTGCTCAACTTAATAGAAACTTTCATAAAACAGGAATCATCTATTAAAAAGAATAAGCTCCCATGCTGCTTTGCCCAAGATATTTTCTAAATCAGAGCTGTAACTTGCGAACTACTGCAAATTTTATAGCGACACTCAAGGTCGCGCACATTCAAATGGTGATAACAATGAACAAAGAACACAGATGTTGTATATAAAGTCGGGAATAAATACAGTTTACTCATAGCCATCTATATATAACTATGATACTGCAAGCTGAAATAGATTTTCAAAATAAGGGTGATGTTGCACGAGTTTGGTCAACACCTGTATCTGTGTATATTCAATAAAAGGAAGTAAAATGAAATGAAAAAAGTGAAATGCTGAGTAAGTCCTACTCACTGCCTTTCCGCGGAGGATATGTTTTCCCCACGAAAGTGAGAGGACGAAAAAATAAACCCGGGGTTATAACCAGGTCTCTGAATCACTGGCGATTCACTTAGGAGAGTTGGCTAGAAGCGCTGATTCCAAACCAGCCAAGGAGAAGTGCGCGAATCACATACACACACACACACCGTGGTTGTGGCAGTGGTTGCTGGTTTGATTGGGTATCAAGGTGTATTGGGCAACCGGGAAGTCCAATGGACGTATACTCGGATGAATTGGACACTGACCCTCAATGGATTATGGATATCACACCGTCCTGCTACCTTTCGGTTAGTTTTTCGTTAGCTGAAGACTTTGGTAGTGGATCCCTGAAGAACATACACCTGCCTTGGCCTGGGCAATCTGGTAGTATTCTACGCACATCCAAATCGTGCAACTTTTTTCTTTTAATAAATATTACTGTACCTTGATTTATTTCGGCACACAGTGTGACCACAAATGCATATAAATACAGGTATTGACGAAACTCGTGCCCCATCCTGATTTTTATCACATTTGTTCCTCTCAATGCTTCGTTTTTCCAGCCTCATTCACGGGATTTAATATAATATTGCCCCACATCAGACGCAACATATCTGATATAATATCCACTTATATCACTACTTCTATTAGCCGCTTGCCATTGAAATGTACACTTTCGCGATTTTGACGATGGTTGCTGGTGCATCAGTTGTAAGATAACAAGGTCACAGTACAAAACGTAGCGATAATTTATTTATTCAAATAACTCATAGACTTCATATAGGTATTGTAGTTTTATCTCTCACCTATCTGGGACTTCTTTTGAGTCGGCAAAATTTTCAAATGAATCCTAAATTTTTTAAATAAATGCGCACGTAATTGTTTTTTAAACAAGGAAGTGTTATTTTGTGTCTGTGATGTGTATCTTTTGGATTATTGATTATACTACCTACCTACCTGTGCGTAGCATATGTTTGATTACATAATTTTCGCTCGACGGACTGCCGGCGGGCAACGTGAGCCCGGGAAAATATACCGGCTCACCCATTAATTCAAAAGATACACATACCACAGACTGCATAGAACAGGTACATATTGAACAAAAATACAATGTAATCAATAACACATAATGATTACCATGGATAAAGTTGTTCAGTATGCCCTAAATAGGTGCCGATATCATTTGGAAAAGTTTGAATGGAAAATTCAAACCACATTCCATCCAGATGTTCCCAAATGTCATCACCTGCAGATCCAGTAACGTTCTTTAAACGGTGTTTGATTCTACTCCAAAACTCCTCCACGTTATTCTTAGGAACATCTGTTGCGGGATTCACAAATCTGTCACCGTGGTTCACACCTGAACATATCCAAGTGAACACAGTGAATGATAACCGGTCCATTGGTCGGTATAACTGATAGTTCCCGGTTGGATCCAGCGTTGTATAATGGGTATTAAAGTCTCCCCTGAGCGATTCTCCACTCTTTGAAAGTAGCCTTTATGCATGCTACGGTCATACATCCCGAAAATCCATACCGTGGGTATTGGTCGCCCGCGTCCGTATTTGCTTTTCACGGCGACGCTTTCATCAACACTTAACCTATTGGGTGGGGACCATCACAATCGGAATAAACGAATTTCCGTATGAACAAACAAAAGTACTTTTTGAGTGAGTTGCCCAGTGAGGATGATTTTTTTTGGCGGGATGGGATTTGTCCTCCCTCGACCCCCGGAAACGTTGTCCCTTTGACCGTTGACCGAGTGTACTTTTGATGAGAATGAGCGAATCCGGTGATTATTGACCTTGATCGGTCGAATAAGAAAGTGAGTCACATCAAGATCGGTCGGCTAATCGGTCACCATGCTCATGATTCGCCGATTGAGCGGTTTCGGCCTCAATAACCCAGTGAGCACCCCCTGTTGAGGTAGGGGTTCCTTCGAAATTTCTTACTTGTTTTGAACCAAGTGCAATTCCTTATAAAAGCATGTTTGACAAAATGTCCAACAACGGGACTCGGTTACAGTCGAAGAATGAGCAGAATTTAACGTGAGTAGCGAAACTAAGCATAGTCTGATTCACTGGCTATGAGAAATGAGCTTTTTTCCCACTGTAATTTTCAGGTTGACTATCTACAATGCTAGTAACACTTACTGGACGTCTATACTCCCCAAAAGTTGACTCGGTAACTCGTTTAGTCAAGTGTATGCTTGTACTTGTGGTTTAACTAGTGAGATGCGCGTTGCCGAGATAATACTCGTCGTTTGGTTTGTATATCAGATTGCAATGGTCCGTCCACAGCGGTTCGTCATTAAGTTTGATTAGTGTAGCATGCAGGTGGCTTTAAACACATCTATGAGATTGGAAGAGCGAAACAGATTTAGACGTCAGCTTAAAACACGATTGGAGGACCATTTACATTCAGTCCAACTTTGTAATGGCCACGGATTGATCACTGGCGTAAGAGGCTTTGTGGAATTACATTGGCCACTGGTTTTTGTCCAACAAGCTGCACGTCCGTCCGTGTGTCCCTTTTGGTTTTGGTCCGACGGTTCGCTCGGTTAATCCGGTCTCGTGCGCCGGTTAGTGAGTGGCTCGTTTATGTAGCCATCGTGAAATCTCGTGACCTGGCTATAGACAAGATTGATTTCTCCCTCGTTTGATTCCTCTGTGGATTTGATGGTTTTGTGGTAATCATCCGAAAACGTGAATTCTTCTATCATTTTCTTCTCAGTTATTACCAATATATCTATTAGATATGGCCACAAGATCCTTGGGAAATTCCAAAACAGAGGTCTGCACTTCAAATTTTCCACGAACGGTTGGCTTCACTTGGACAGGTTGGTTTAAAGATGAGCTGTCACACGAGTACACTGATCCAGTGAACGAACATTCACAGTAAAATTCTGTATGATAAAAAGACTGATCCTAATTCGAATTTAATATTGTAACTGGTGTAGATTCTCTCGAAATGCATTTGCACTTGATACCATTTGTAATTCAACTGTTGTGACCATCTGAGTAGTGTGTTCACAAGGAGCAATTTGTCCTCCCTGCATTACTATTAATATTGATGACCAAATGGCAGAATTGCAACTTTAATCGAATTGAACCGCAGCAACCTTTTTTGTTTGTTTTTCTGTATTAATATATCTTTCCGTTTTGATTTTACTTCATCTTCATGTTATCCCCCTCATTCTGTACAACCACGTCTGACATTAACTGCATCATTTGACCTGGTCATAAATCCGCTCTATTAGTGTTTAAAAAGAAGTAAAGTATCTCAGTCGTCACTGCAGTTTCCACTTTTAATTCTGACTGTGTTGGATAAGCCTTTACGTTTGTGTGTTTATTGCTGTCGCTGGGTGGTGGTGGCCCAGTGGTTTAGTTAATGAGATCGACTTGCTTTGGCCCCTATGGTCCGAGCTTTGAGCCCCGCCATCGCTACCCAACTTTGGTGGTAAACAGCTTTGCTGTCGTCCGGTTCAATACCACGCTTAACCTAGCGGGGCCTTGCGCGACTCGCCACTCCAAGTCCCGGGTCTCAGGTTACCGGTTTCCATCACTAAACATTAAGTCCTCGTGACAATGGGGTCTTCCCCGTCTGCTGTTCGTCAAAAAAATGTGTGTGATAAAAAATTGGTTTTCTTTGTCAAAATTTGCAAAATTATAGTTCTGTCATTTTTGAACGCTTTCGATGAATCTCTTGTGTCTTCCGCTAGGTTGTCTCTGGTTTCTTGTTGTGTAGAATTCGTGAAATTTGTTTTCATTTCGTTGGCTTCCATATCTGGTCATCTTCTATTAGTGGGATAATACTGGTCGATTTAATTACAGGCACAGTAACATTGACATTCAATCCTTCCTTCTGTCCCCTCAACTTTTGAGTTCTGCGTTTCGGATGTACATCTCTCAGTAGAAGCAATCGAAAGCCAAGACGAAAAGGTCGCAGAACGGCCTGTAACAAATGTGGGAGTTTAATAAATGTTACTGGGTCGTAGTGTATGCATAAATACTACATTAGCCGAGTGTCTCATTTACTGATACACCTCTGGTGAACGTATTTAATTGTCATATGCTTCGTTCTTTGATTTTTCCTTGGCATCGATTTTGAACCGGTTAGTTAAACTCTCTTAGCCAAATACAACTTCACTTATGCGGGATAATACTGCAACTGAATGATGAAGGAAATCAAATTCTATAATCACATTCAGTTTAACCACAGTAAACTTCAAACCAGTGCACTCCTCGCCACTCTTTCAGGTGCTCGCCAATGGGCTCAAGAGACTTTGACCCAGCACGCCACGGACACTCGACCCGCCTCATACACCCGAGATGAGTTAGAAAGTGCCAAAAGCGGGGACGATTTGTGGAATGCAGCGCAACGCCAGCTAGTTCACACGGGTAAAATGCACGGATTTCTGCGTCAGTATTGGGCCAAGAAAATTCTCGAATGGTGTGCTGAAGGTCCACAGACGGCGATAGATTGGGCAATCTACCTCAACGATCGATTTAGCTTGGACGGTTCTGATCCGAATGGCTATGTGGGTGCGTTTGTGAGCGTTTGCATTTTTCAGTCATTTTCAATGCATTTGAGGATAAATAACTTTTCTGTGGTTTTGCACTGTACAACATATCAACCCTATTGACAACTTACATCGTTCGTTTATCCAGGTTTCATGACCTAGATTTCTGTTGATCCTAACTACCCATTGGAGTCCTTGAAGAATGCATTATACCCTTCATATGTCATGCTCTGCCCAAGTTTCTCATTTTAACTTCGCTCGTGGGCTAGTCCATTCCCTTGCCTTC